GGATTGATTCAGTGACTGAGATAATCGGGATGGGAGTGTCAGAGACTGGCACAGGACAGAGCAGAATTTAGGGCTGTTGTACACAGGGTCGCTATGAGTCACAATCGACTCAACGGCACATAAGAACAACAACAACAAGATTTGGTGACATTTTCTGAGCAAGCAATTTTGACAAAAATACAGAAGGGATAGAACAGGGAAATAGGAAATAAAGGTGGGAGTGGAAGCTCAGTCCAAAGAGGTGTGGGGAAGGACACCCCTCAGACTGCTGGCCTCTGGATACCTCCAGACCCTGAGGCCCAACCTTGCCACTTCTGACAAGGCCACTTGTGATGTGCTGTCACCGCCCACTACCCCTGTGTCACTTCAGATTACCTTATTCTTCTGGGCCCCAGGCAGCAGACTGTCAGGAAATACCTCCCCCGGCCTTTCCTGTCCATAATTGGAACCAGGGCTGTCTCTATAGGGGTTCCAACTCTTAGATCTGCAACAAATTACAGAAGTCAGTGAGAAGGGGTCCCCAGCAAAGCCCAGCAACACCTTGCTGCTCTCTGCAAGAGGTGGCTGCGCATTTTGAAAGTGTGAGCAGGTGTCAGGTCGACCAATGAGCCACTGGGAGCTGCTCTGCTCCCTCATTCCCCACTTCAGTCTATAAATAGCAGAGAAACAGACGCACTTGTGTTGTCAAGTGCAGCTGCTTAAGTAGCCGTGGACCCTGTGTGAAGCAGGGCTGGTACATGAAGCCTGACATCCAGAGATGGCTTTAATCGGAGCCTTGTGATCTGTGAGCTCCAGGTTAAAGGTATTAATGTTGGGACACTGGGGTGGACACTGGTGCAAAAGTCTCCTCTCTGTTCTTCCTTGTCCTGGCATCGGGGGGGGACACCCAGTTCTCTGAACATAAGAGTGGGCAAAGGAGAAGCTCTCCATGCCTAGGCAGGAACTCAATTATGAGAAGTCTTGTTAAGGTCAGATCTGTTCTGAAGTTAATATGGAATTAAAGACCTCAGCCAGAGACAGTGGAGGAGTCCTGGGGGTTGGGTCAAACCCACCAACCATTTCACAAGAGAAAGATAATGCTTTCTGCTGTCCTGAGGGTCACTGTGGGTTGGAATCTACTTAATCGCAATGAGTTTAAGGGTTTTGTGTTCTGTTGAGTTTTTCAGGTTACAGCCTCACAGAAGCCAGGCTAGACCAGGTCCTGAGATGTTTCTTGGAGGTACAAATCTCTCCTCCCCTCTGCATAGGTACAGGTTATACAAAACCAGGCTGGTTCTTTGCTGAGGGACCAAGGACCAGATACTGACTGTAAGACTGACATAAGATTTGTAGTCTAAGTGTGGCTGAAGGAGGATTAACCGGCCCCTCCTTTGGCACTTACTGGAGTTGGGTCTCATTATTTGTTCCAAATGGACTATTCTGAGCTTCCTGGTGATGTTCACTGAGATTCTTCTGGTCTCGGTAATCTTCATGCCTGGTGTAAGGACTCCCTTGCCTTGGAACTGCACCCTCAGACAAAACAGCATAGACAGGTCACTCAAGCATTCAGAAAGACAGCAGCAAGTTGTGATGCTGAGTTAAACATAGCTGGCATATAAAACACAAACAAATTGACTAACATTTTTTTTCTTGGCTATAATTTCCCCCTTTTTAAATTATTATTCATTTTAATGAAAATTTACAGAGACTTTGGATTTCCATTCATTCACTGTTGAACTTTTCTCCCTGCCTCCCCCCCACCAAAAAAAAAAATTTGCTCAGAATACAGATTGAATATGCATGGAGAAAGGATCCCACCCTCACACAAAACTCTCCTGATGAGGCGTTTCCTTCCTGTTTAGATAGCAGCCTCTTGATCTAGGTATAGGTTTTGCATGAGTGTAAGTAAGTGTTCTAGGATTCCCATTCTTCCAAATGTTTGTTATAGTTAGTTATGGTCCACACAATCAAATGCCTTTTCATAGTCAATAAAACACAAATATATAAAAAAATTACTAACTTTAATTAAGTTGATGAGTGAAATCTAAGATGAAATCTAGAATATACCCTTCATTCCTCTCTTAGCCAACTATGCTTCTATAAATAGTATGGACCTAGTGATCTATTTAAAAAAAAATATGCCATTGTAAATTCTATGGTGCACAAAACATAACATGGGATCACCATGAAATGCCAGCTGGTACTAGAATACACAATTAAGTATTCCGGGATTCTCATTCTTCCTAATGTCAGCCATAGTTTGTTATTATCCACACAGTCAAATGCCTTTGCAAAGTCAATAAAGCGTAAATAGACATCCTTCTTGGTTTCCTTCTCTATTTTCAGCTGGCATCCATCCTGTATCAACAATGATATCGTTGGTACCATGGCCTCTTCTAAATCCAGCTTGAACTTCTAGCCCTTCCCTGTCAATGTATTTATTGTTCGAGCCATTTTTTCACGACCATCAGCAATATTTTGCTTGTATATGATAGTAATGATATAGTTCAATAATTTCCACATTCTTTTGAATTACCTTCAATCTTTTGAATCATCCTAGGATGGGGGAAAATATGTATCACTTCCAGTCAGACAGCCAGGTAACTGTCCTCAAAGTTCCCTGGCATAGACTAGTGCATCTGTCCAAAGTTGCATCTGTTAGCTGAAACATGTCAATTAGTATCTCATCAATTCCTGGGAACTTAATTTTTTTTTTTTGCCAATGCTTCATTACAGCTTGAACTTCCCCCTTTATTACCAGTAGCTCTTGTTTATAAGGTACTTACTGGAATTTCCCAGTGTCAGTCAATTCTATTTAGAACAGTGACTCTAGGTATTCCGTCCATCTTCTTTTGATGCTTTCTGGATCATTCAGGATCTTGCCCATAGTATCTGTCAATGTTGTAACTCAAGGCTTGAATTTGTTTTTCAGTTCTTTCACCTTGAAAAATGGCATGTGAGTTCTTCCCTTCTTATTCTCTGAATCTAGCATTTTGCACATTTTGTTATAATAGTCTGCTTTGTCTTCTTGAACTGCCCTTTGAAATCTTTTCTCTCAACTCTTTTACTTTGGCATCTCTTCCCCCCGCACCCCCTTTTTTATTTTTTTTTTGTTTTTTGATGCTTTAATATAATTTTTATAGTTTTTTCTGATATCTATTTTGGTTTTTTCTTTCTCTCTGTCTCTGTACATGACCTTTTGTTCTCTTTATAGATAATGTCAGATGTCACCCTAAAGCTCTTCTGGTATTCTGGTATTCTAGCATTTAGTTCTCAAACCTGTTCTTGAGATGAATTTTAAACTCAGGTAGGATAGACTCAATATTATATTTTTGTTGCTGATAACTTGTTTTCATTTTTTGTTCAGCTTAACTTTGAACTTGTTGTTGTGCTGTTTGTGCCATTGAGTTGCCTGTAACTCATAGTGACCCTATGTCCATTAGCTCTGAAAATTTGCCCATGAGTAATTGATTATCTATTCCATGTCATCACCTGGCCAGGTTTTGACTTCTGATATTGAGCTTTTCCAACGATTCTTTCTACACATAGAGTCAATCTGATTCTTGTGTAGTCTATTAAGTCAGGTCTAAGTATAAAGTATCCTTTTGTGTTTTTTAAATACAGTATTTGCTAAGAATAAATCATTGTACAAAATTGAGTGATCCAATCGTAAGCCTCATTTCCATCATGAAGACCATACTTTCTAACTACCATTCCTTCATCATTGTACCTTGCTTTTGCACACCAGCCGCCAATAATTATTAAATTATCTTAATAGTATGTTTGGTCAATTTTGGACTGCAAAGCTTGTAAAAATCCTCAATTTCTTCTTCTTTGGCTTCAGTTATTGGTGAATATATTTGGATAATATTTGTGTTAACAGGTCTTCCTTGTATGTATGTGGATAGTATCTGTAGACCAAGAATCCGTTGTCCAAATGGAGCAAGGGAACACTACATTGTTTAAAATCAGAAAGGGTGTGTATCAGCAATGTATACTATCTCCATATTCATTCAAACTGTTTACTGAGCAAATCATTCATTAAAATGGACTCTATGAAGAGAAATGTGGCTTCAGGATCAAGAAAGAGTCATCAGAAACCTGTGTTATGCAGATGGCACAACCTTGAGTGCGGAAAGTGATAGGACCCAAAATGTTTGCTGCAGAAGATCAAGGATTATGACCTTCAATATGGATTACATCACAACATCAAGAGAACAAAGTTCCTCACCACTGAGCCAATAGGCAACATCATGACAGATGGAGAAAAGATTGAAGTTGTCAGTGACTTCATCTTCTTAGATCAATAATCCATACCCTTAGTACCAACAGTCAGGAGATCAAGAGACAGATTGCAATGGGAGCATCCGTTGTCAAGGATTTCTCAAAATACTGAAAAGTAATAATGTCAGTATGAAAACTAAGTGTGCCTGACTCAGGCTATGGTCTTTTCAATAACTTGCTACTCATCTGAGAGGTAGACAATGAATAAGGATGCTAGAAAAAGAATAGGTATATATGGTGCTGAATATCCCATTTTGGACTTCCAAAAGAACAAACAGATATGCCTTGGAAAAAGTATAGCCATGGTGCTCCTTGGAGGCAAAGATGGCAAAGTTTCATCTCTCATAGTTGGGGCATGTTGCTCAGAGGGGCTATTCCTTGTAAAGGGACATCATGCTTAGAAAGGCAGAGGGTCTGTGAAAGAGAAAAAGATCTCAAATGAGATGGATTGACACAGTGACTGAAGCAATGTCCTCAGGTGTGTCAGAGATGACGAGGATGGCACAGAATGGCACAGGGTTCAGGTCTATTGTTCATAGGATCTCTATGAGTTGTACTTGACTCAATGACACCTAAAAACAACTGGAATACAACTCTACAATGGTCTCATGAGGTGGAGGGGAAAGTGTGAGTGTATTTGTGCATGTACACACACATATATTCAAAATGGAAACCAATTTCTCTTTGCTAGAAGGTCAGAAGTTATTTTTCTTAACTCAAAACTGTTTGTCATTGAATGGGAATCAACTCACAGCTAACACTCCAGGGGGGAGTGCCACACAGGAGGAAAATGCCCATCTTTCTCCCTAGTTGCTACTGGTGGATTCGTAACCTTTGGGATGAGCAGGGAAATTCTCTACAGACTGCCCCCAGAGCTCCCGGAAGTCATCTTTAGCACACAATAAATATCATAACATTAATGTAGAGTGTGAAAACTCTTATTTGGACACATGTGCTGTCCAGTCCCCTCTACAAATGGACCAGAGCCTGTGAGATCTGTGCTCTGGGAGGCATGATGGCCAGGCTCACACCTCAGTTGGTTACAGCCCAACAACACAACCAATGCCCTTGAGAACTGACTTCACTGTTACTTGATTGGAGATTATAATCTCAGCTAAGGTCAAGTAGGGAAGAAACTGTAGACAAAGCTCAAACTATTCATAGTAATAGTAACCTAATGAGGGAACTCTGGCGGCCTAGTGACAGGAAGCTGTGCTGCAATCCCAAAGGCACACAATTCAAAACCACCAGCTGCTCCACAGGTGAAGGATGGGCAAACTCCTCCCTTGTGATTAACTGCCTCTGAAAACCGGCCAGAGGGTCAGCTGGAGGGTTCTGACTTGATGGTACCCAACAGCAGTAACCTAATGAAGGCAGTTTCAGTACTTCCATCTACCTGTTCAAAAGATGATAAATACTTCCTACCAAAGATATGAAGGACAATAAATTAAACCTTGGTCCCAAGTGGCCAAGAAAGAAGGAAAAGAGGACTTCTACTTTAGTCCAGTTGATTGCACAAGATGAAGCTCTGAGCATGCCCCCTTGATCTGCCCTGTTTATCAGAACAGGCTTACCACCCCCAAACTCCAAAGGCTTCTTGGATATGATTCCATACCTCTTTCTTCTGGGAGCCTCTGTGGGTGTCCATGATAGTAATAACTTCCATAAGCATATTCTTCCCTGAGGGCTGGAGAATGATAGTTCTGATACAGGTTCTCATAACCTGGCCTAAAATATCACAAAGATGGCCAGTCATTCAAAGATGGGGGTGGGAGAGAGAGAGAAGTCAATGGCATATTTGACAAGCTCCAAAATTGCAGACAGCATAATTGTGATCCCAGTATGGGAACTGCTTGAAAGACAAAATTAATTCTACATCATATAAACAGAAATCTAGAATCAAAGCAGAAAAAATGCCTTTGTTCTAAAACAAAGACCTGGATTTTTATAGTAAGCCATAATCAAATGTCTTATTCTCTTTTGTTATTATTCCCTCTTGCTCCCAGAATACACAAATTCAACAATATGCGAAGAAAATTCTGTTTTGATGTTATCTTTGAAAACTCCTTCATGAGATAATTATACAAATACACAATACCAAAACCTCTCCAAGTCTAGTCTCATTCCCAGTAGTCCTCCAACAGGTGTGCGAGGCTGTAAATCCTAACAGGAAATATTAATCATCTTTCCTCCTTGGAGTCACTGGTGAGCTTGAACTGCCAACCTTTTGGTTAGCTACACAACATGCTATGAATCCCACCATTAGATTTCTTGAAACACACCACATATCACCACCATTTCCATGTATACTACAGATTGAAATGCGATTTTAAAAATCAAGTTAGACTATCTTAAATCTGATTATTTTTATTGCCACTGGTGGGATTAGGGAAAGGAAAGTGATTCTGTTATGTTATTATCTATTAATAAATCCTCAGCAGAGTGCTTTTCTAAAGTTGCTGTAATCTTCACTCTAAATCTGTAAACATAGTCCTTCCTGTGGCAAAATTTCTCTTTATCTGTGAACTTGTGAAATCTAGACTACAAGTTATTTGTTTCCAAAGCACAATAGTGGAACAAAAACAAAGATTATTATTTCTATTACAAATGGCAGAAACTGGGGAGACGTAAGTACTAACAGGCACTAAATCAGTCCAGACCCAGTAGAACATTAGCTCTCAAGCTTAAAAGTTATCTTCTATTCTCTGAGACCATCTGGGCAACGGCCCTGCCTTCCGGACTCTGTGTCAATCAAATCCCTTGGATTCTGGGTGAAGGCCCGTTAGCTTCAGTCGTGCCTCCCTGATTCAATGGGATGGAAACTGCTCCCATGGCTTTGGGTCCCCACACTCTCCTAGTTCATCTCAATGTGCACCTTACCTCCTCACCCTCTGTAGACTTCATTCTTTTTACCTCTTGGACATGCCAGCCCTGCCTTCCTCATCTATGACTGGCAGTGCCATTCCCCTAGCACATTTTAGCAGCGGCCCTACACTCTCGAACTAGATTGGCAAAGATCTGAGTGTTTGAAAGCTAGGAAGTTGTGGTCCCCCTCTTTGAGATCCAGAAAAGCATGACGTCACCATTTAAAACTGAGAAAACTCTGTTTCCTGTGCTCCTTCCAACAGTTTTACAGATTTCTAACCTGCTCCAGGGATGTGCTTTTCCTTTTCTTGGAGACAAGAGATGTTGGTCATTTCTGCCATTAGAATTCCAAGAAGCAGACTGTTTCTTTCCATTATTCTTTCTCTCTCCCTTTTATTCTAAGCTGATGGATTTTCTGCTGTGGTACTTGGTTGGACTCATCAATCACAGACTCCAGCTCTTTAACCAAAAACCTTGTAGCCATGCCCTTAGTAAATATCCCATGGTATGTGCCTCTACTTTGTATGAGAGAATTTTTCAAATCAAAGTTCTGTTTTCATTTTGCACAGTTCATTTCAAGGCCTTTTCTTTCTTCTCACATTTTATTATAAGCAGCAGGGAAAATCATGCAACCACTTTTAAGATTCTTCTTAGAAATCTCCTCAGCCAAATGTCCACGTTCATAACTTGCATGTTTCACCTGCCATCAAACATCTGAACATAATTCAGACTTCTTTCCTACTGCATAAAATATTACTCATCCTCCACCATCCAATCACATGTTCATCATTTCCTCAAACCTCACCAGAAGTACATTTAAGGTTCACATTTGCAGTAACAATCTATTGCTGGTGCCATATATATTCTCTAAGAAGATTAAGACTTTCTCTGTGACTCTTCTCACTTCCCCCTGAGTTCTCACTAGAATTGCCATTGACATAATTCCACCAATAGTCTCTTCAAGGCAATTGAAGCTTTTATAATTGTTATTTTTAGGTGCCACTGAGTCAACTACAACAAACAGCAACCCTATGAACAACAGATATGAATCTTGTCCAATCTGTGCCCTCGTCATGATCTTTGTCATGTCCACTGTGGTAATTACTGTGTTGATTCCTTCATCTTAATTTTCACTCATCCATTTAATCCAAGGCCTTTACTATTGTTATTTCTGCTATGTGCTGTCAAGTTGAGTATGACTCATAGCAGCTCTATGAACAACCCTGAGACTTGCACCCTATCCTGTCCTATACCATCTCATCATTTCTGATACATTTGAGCCAATGGCTGCAGTTGCTGTATAAATCCATCTCGTTGAGGGTCCTTGTCTCCTTCATGACCCTCTACCTTTCTCAGCCTGATGTCACTTTTCAAAGCATAGTCCCTCCTAGCAGTATGTCCAAAATAAGAAAGCTGAAGCTTCACCATCCTTGCCTCCAAGGAGCACTCTGGCTGCACTTTTCCCAAGGCATATTTGTTTGTTCTTTTAATAGTCCATGGGATATTCCGTACTCTTCTCCAACATCATAGTACAAAGGCATCAATTCTTCTATCATTCTTATTCATTGTCCAGCTCTCATATGCATTGCAAGTGATTGAAAAGACCATGGCCTGCTCTGCTGGAGAAGGAGGGGCAATCTTCTCCTGTACCAGTCAGATCCAATTTGACGGCACACACACACAAAATAATAAAATAAAAATTAAAAAAAAGAAAAGACCATGGCCTGAATTAGGCACACTTTAGTCTTTGAACTTACATCATTACTCTTTTGTATTTTGGAGAAGCCCTTGATGGTGGAGGTTCCCATTGCAGTATGACTCCTGATCTTTCACTGTTGGTACCAAGGTTTTTGCTTGTGAAACCAAGCAAAATGAAATCATTGACAACTTCAAACCTTTCTCCATCTATCATGAGCTTGGCTATTGGTCCAGTGGTGAGGATCTTTGTTTTCTTGATGTTGAGATGTAATCCATATTTAAGGCTATAGTCCTTGATCTTGTGTAACAAATGTTTTAAGTACTCATCACTTTCAGTAAACAAAGTTGTGTTATTTGCATAACATAGGTTGTTGTTGAGTCTTCCTCTGATCTTGATGCCTTATTCTTCTTTGTGGAGTCCTGTTCCACAAATTATTTGCTCAACATACATATTTTACTATTTGCTGTTTTTAGGTGCCATTGAGTAGAGATTCTATGAACTGCAGATCTGAACTCTATCCTATCATGCGCCATCTTCACACTTCCTGATACACAAGAGCCTATTGCAGCAGTCACTGTGTCAATCCACCAGATTGAAGGTCTTCCTCTCCTTCACTGACCATCTACTCTTCTAAGCATCATGTCCCTTTCCAAGAAATAGTCCCTCCTAGCAATATGCCCAAGTATGTGAGGTCATCTTTCCTTCCAAAGAGCACTCTGGTTGCACCTTCTCCAAAATGTATTTATTTGTTCTTTTGGCAGTCCATGGGATGTTCAGTCTTCTTCTACAACAGTACAACTCAAAGGCATCAATTCATCTGTCATCCCTATTCATTGCCTAGCTCTCAGATGCATAACAAGTGATCAGAAAGACCATGGCCTGAATCAGACACGCCTTAGTTCTTAAACTGGCATCATTACTCCTCAATAATTTGGAGAGGTCCTTAACTACAGACTTTCCCAACGCAATGCATCTTCTGATTTTCTGACTGCTGGTTCCAAGTGTGTTCATTGTGGATCCAAGCAAGATGAAGTTGTTGACAGTTTTAATCTTTTCTCCATATATGATGATGTTGACTATCAGTCCAGTGGTAAGAATCTTTGTTTTCTAGACATTGAGATGCAATCCATATTGAAGGCTGCATTCCTTGATCTTCTGCTACAAGTGTTTCAAGTCTTCCTAACTTCCACCAAGTAAGGTTGTGTCATCTGCATAACACAGGTTATTGAAGAGTCTCTCTCCAATCCGGATACTACATTCCAACCTCTATTCATTACCCAATTCCAAAACCACATCCACATTTTACTACTAGAGAAGTGTCCCATTTTTCTGGTATCAAATTCAAGTTTAGTTGTTTAGTGCTGGGGGGCTTTCATGGCACAGTCTATAGAGAGCTATGCTGCTAATGCAAAGGATATATCTTTCTGACAATTTGGATCTACCAAGTGGTCTGAGGGAGAAAGATGGGCAATTCCCCTTCCTATGATTTAAAGCCTTGGAAGCTCAAGGGACAGTTAGCTATGAGGAGCTTTTGACTAAAAAATGACAGAGAGTTGTTATAACTGAATGAATGGCTTTAAAACTTTCTTGTCATTTTCTTACAGCTTGCCGTTGTTGTTATTGTGTGCTGTTGAGTAGGAACTGACCCATAGCTGACCCTTCAGTACGTTTTTAGAAGTAGTAAACAGCACAGGAGGAGACTGCCAATTTTCTCCCACAGAGCAGCTGGTGGATTTGAACCATCTATCTCTGTGTCAGCAGCACAATTTCTTACTGCCCAGCCACCTGAACTCCCTCTCACAGTTAAGGAAGCTATAACTGTAAATTTGGATCACTGGCTTTAGGGACAGTCTCTTTCAGCTCTGGAAAAAGTTGTTTTTCTCTTTGGAGCTTCTGTTCCTGGGGAATCTTCAAGTGACTTAGTATCTCTCTTCTCCCATCTCTAGTTTTTAGCTTGCACTTACTCATCTACATCTCAGAAGAGATTGGATCCAGTTATACATAACCTAACCTACCCTAATCCTATCTCAATACTATAAAAAGCAACTCATTCCTAAATGGGTTTTTAACTACTTCAGGCATGTTATTAGCTGCTGCTGAGCCAACTGTGACCCATAGTGATGTAATGAGCCACAGATCTGAACCTTGACCTTGACCTATCCTGTGCCATCTTAATAATCTCCAACATGCTCAAGTCAACCTCAGGCTGTAGTCATCATGTCAATCCACCATGCTGAAGGTCTTTTTCTTTCCCAATGACCCCTATTTTTCCCAGCATAATGTCCTTTTCCAAAAACTGGCTCTTCTTGACAAGAAGCTCAAAATATGTGAGATAAAGTTTTATCATCCTTGCCTTTAAGGAGCACTTCAGTTGAACATCTTCCAAGATAGATTAGGTTCTTTGGGTGGTTCATAATAAATTCTATACTCTTCACCAATACTGTAATTCAAAGTATCTATTTTTATTCAACCATGGCTTGGTTCTGGTACATTACAGTTTTTAAACTTACATTCTTGCTCTTTAGTACTTTAAAGAGATCCTCAGAAGATTTTTCCCAATGCAGCACATCTTTTGACTTCTTGACAGCTGCTGCCAATAGGTGTTAATTTTAGATACAAGTGAAATAAAACTGCTGACAACTTCAATCTTTTCTCCATCTATTAGGATGTTGCCTATTGGTCTAGGGACTGGGATTTACAATACATATTTTGAGGAGATACAGATTAATACAGTGAAGAAGGATGAGTAAAGGAAAAGAGGAGAAATAAAACTGAAGAAGGTAAAGAATAATTTGTTCATAAGCATTTAATAGAGTTGGGTTCATTCTGAGCCCTAAAGCCATACCTTGGATATCTGGGATAGCCACCTTCATAATAGTTCATTCCAGATGGAGGTTGATGCCAATCCCCAGGCCTGTATGAATGTTGGAGCTGCTGGTGGTCAGCCCTGGGGTCCTGCTGAGGGTGGGGGCTCCTTCGGAGGTCTTGCCACTGATAGAACCTCTTTCCACTGTGTCGAGGGTGAGGAACAGGCATGTGATACTCATCTCTCCGGAGCCCTCGGTCTGCATCCTTTGATGGGGCCATAGGCCTTCCCTGTGCCTGAGGTGACCGAGGAGGAGCCCAAGGCTCCATTCCCAGCTCTCTGAATCTCTTTCAGATGCTGAGTCAATTTTGTAGTTATTTCATCCACCTAAAAAATATATATATATAAATTATCACTAAGCCTATATTTATACATGGTGGTTGACTGTTATTGTTAGGTACCATCAAATTGGTTCTGCCTCATAATGGCCCTATTATAAGAGAATGTAACTTTGTCCAGTCCTGAGATAACCTTACAACCTCCACTCAACTTGAATCCATTGATTCAGCCACTGTGTCAATTCATCTCTTTGAGGGTCTTCTTTTTCAGGGACCTTCTACATTTCCGATGAGCTCTCCAGTGGCCTTGCGATTAAGGAGTTGCATGGCCAATCCGAAGGCCCATGATTCAAATCAATCTGCAGCTCAGCAGGAAAAAGATGGACAATCTCCTCCTACGGAATTTATAGCCTATGAAAATCCACTTTGAGTCAATTGCAATTTGATAGCATATACCAATAACAATTACTTTTCCAAGCATGATATCTTTCTCTAAAGATAAGTGCCTTCTGGTAACCTGCCCAAAATATGAGTAATGAAGTCTCATTAGACTCACTTCTAAGTAGTAGTCTGGTGGTTGACTAGGTTTTGTGAAAAGAAGCTTAGCAATCGTAAGTCTGGTCCTCTAAAATATTCTCTATACTATCATATGGATATTGACACAGAGAAATCTGAGAAACAGCCTTCATTCATTACATGACATAAATTGAAGACTTAAACATTGATATAAATGTTATTTAAAAATTAAAAATAAATTTTGAGCAATAATAGATATTGAAGCCATCAGAGGCAGACATAGCACAGATGGGACTGAAAAAGACTAACCAGGTATCCTGTTTCAAGAAATATTTGATCATTCATTCTACCAGCAAATATTTACTCAACACTAACTAATGGAAGGCTTGTGGTATCATAGAAATAGGGCAGCTTTTGGAGGGCATTAGGCCAAGATTCAAATACCTTAGGTCTACCATTTATTAGCAATAGGATCAGAGACGTTAGCTTTCTTCCCCCAAGTTTCAGTGTCTTCACCTTTAAAATGAGAGCTATATTGCAGGTTTAGTCTCAGAATTAGGGATAACTTATGAAAAGAGCCTAATGCACTACCCACTATTACATAGCCATTGTTCAATACACTATGGTTGTTGCTGTTATTGTTGATTTCAAACAAGTCAGCACTGACTCATAGCTGACCCTCCAGTGGGTTTTCAGAGCAGTAAATAGCATAAGAGGAGATTGCCCATCTTTTTCCCACAGAAGTGAATTTGAACTTTGTCTCTTTGGTTGGCAGCATAGTATAATTTCTTATCTCTAAGTCACCAATGCCCCTAAATTTTGATTAGTTAATAGTAATAACTGTAGTCAGTAAACCATAATTAGTATGTGCAAAACACTGTGGGAGAGTCAGAGAGAAAGACTGAGAGTTGTGTAAGTGGCTAGAGACATCTCTTAGTCAAAAACAAACAAAAATACTGAAATGACCTCTTCAAAAGAAGGCTCTTCTAAATTTTTACATTAACTTCTTGGAAGTATTCCCATAAAATGGTCATATCCAGCCCTTCCTCCAGGGGAGATATTGAGATGCAATTTGGGGACAATTTATTCAATACTATTTGCCCTGACTGGAGATTTAAAAACTTGGAAAATCTTCCTTCACAATGAAAGAATTTTTCCCTCACTTACTCCTCAAAATTAAAATAAAAATTGCAAAAAAAGCTCCAGATGGCTGATTACCTACCAGCTTCTCTGTCTATCTGAATATCACAAAGGAGTGCCTTTATACAACTGCTTCAAAGGAAAAGCTCACATCAGACCTTTCTCCTACTTAGGGATTCTCTTGTATCAGGAATGAGCACTGTCTCAGTCTGCTCCCACCTTCTGTCTCCTCTGGGAATGGCTTAAGGCTGCAAAATTAAGATTCTGATTGATCCAGTTCATTTGCTTCCACTACTGAAACACTCAGCCCAATAAAAAATTTAAAAAAAATTAAACACACACATACACACACACACACACACACACACACACACAAAACCTCCTAATAGAACAAAAGGTCAAAAGGGTGTGTGTTGAAATCCTACTCTAATGGAATCAGGGCCCCCAGCCAGGAGCTGAAGGTGGTGAGACAGCAATTCCAGTTCAGAAACGACAGGTAGACCTGGACAAGAAGGAGATTTCTCATGCCAACCTGCTTCCCTGAAAAAGCAAAGAGCAATGAAGGTGATCCATTGTCCCAGATAGGGTATGTGGATCTTTCCTGACCCCAGTGCCGTTTGAACATAAGAGCAACAAGGAGTCTGGGTGGCCCACCCAGGGCTCTGCAGAAGAAGGCAAATTGCTTCCATAAGACTTATGTCAAAGAAAACCCCATGAAGCAGTTCTGCTCTGTAACTCAGGGGTAGGCATGAGTTAGAATTTCACAAGATTGCTCTTTTCTTTCCTACCTATAAAGACACAACAGCCAATCTCTTGGACAAAATCCCATTATTTACTGCCATATACCATTGACCACAGTAAGTTAGACACCAAACAAAATCCTAAAAAAAAGATCTTAAAAGATTCTCAAAATGAGAGGATTATGTCCATGGAGAGAACTCATTCTCCTATATTCACATGCATGACCTTCTCTCATTCTCAATAAAGCCAGAGCTCTTTTTTCCTAATCCAACAGCAAAGCACACACAGCCAAAACAAAGACGCCCAGCATTCCCCCGCACCTGCTCTGTCGACTTCCTACCTGTTTTCAGCTCAGCTCCAGGGACCTAGCCCAAGAATGGTTTTTCGCCTCTTATAAACTAACAAAGTCCAGGTTCCACATCTACCAAGACTCACCTGCCCTCAAATCTACAGTCAGTGAGTTACCTTTGCAACTGCCAGCGTCCATGGAGCTGATTCATTAGGGCAAAGTACAGACCAGCCTCAGCTATCTCCGTCGGCAACAGATCTGACTAATTGGAGTATTTACTCAGCAACCTACCTGTCCGAGGTTTGTACTCCTGTTTGTGTGCTTTCCAGCCAAATCGAGTCTATTCACAAGAGTGAGATTCCAAATCCCCACAGCAAACAAGGAAGAGAGAGGAAGGAGAGAGGAAATCAGAATTGCCTTGGGGCGGCCTGCTTTGGCTAGAGGAGCACCAACTTTAGAGTGCTGACTTGTAGATGAAAAGACAAAGCAAAGTATTATAATAAAATCCGCAAAGACCAGAAATTAGAAAACCAAAAGGGACACGCTAGGTATTTGTAGTAAATAAAGCTCCAGGAATTGATAGAATACCAATAGAGATGTTTCTACAAATTGAAATTAATAATAATAAAAAATGTTTTTCTTGGCAATGAATGTGGCATGATTCTCCTTCAATTTATCTAAGAAAAATTAACAGCACCAAAATAGTAATAGGAGACTTCAATATACCACTCTCAAGCAAAGACAGAACTACCAGAAAGAAACTCAACAAAGATGCTGAAGAACTAAAAACACAATAAAGCAACTCACTTTCATACATATATACAGGCTAATACACCCCAACAAAGTACAATATACCTTCTTCTCCACTGTACATAAAACATTCTCCAGAAGCGATTTCATTTTAGGTCAATAGCTTCAAAAACAGAAATAATAGAAAGCATCTTCTCAGATCACAATGCTAAAAAATTAGAAATAAATAACAAAAGGATATAGGAGGGGGAAAAAGCATATATTTGGAAGCTGAACAACACCTTGCTTGAACATGAGTGGGATTTTTTTACTAGTAGTTACTGTTGTTATGCACCATCAAGTCACCTACAAATCATGGTAACCCAATGCACAACAGCTCTGAACCCTGTTCTATACTGTGCCAACTTCATTGTCTCTGATACACCTACCTCCATTACACTAGATACTGAGGCAATCCACCTCATAGAGGTTCTTCCTCTCCTGTGCTGTCCCTCCACCCTCCCAAGCATACTGTCCCTTTCCAAGGACTGGTCCCTCCTTGCAACATGTCCAAAGTATGTCAGAGAGAGCTTAAGAATTCTTGCCTCCAAGGAACAGCCTGGTTTCATCCTCTCTGTTTGGTCTCCTAGCAGTCTTTGTTATATTCAATACTCCATTCCAGCACCACATATTTGACACAATTGATGTATTTCAAAAAGCAGACACAGCCCTGAATGCACTCATCAAGTTGTGCCAAGAAATATGGAGGACAACCACCTGGCCAACTAACTGAAAGAGATCCATATTTGTTCCTATTCCAAAGAAAGGTGACCAAAAAGCATGGAAATTATTGAACAATATCATTAATATTACATGTAATCAAGTTTCTGCTGAAAATTATCCAAAAACAACTGAAACTGCACATCAACAGAGAGCTGCCAGATGTGCAGGCTGGATTTAGAAGAGGTAGTGGTACTAGGGGTATTATAGTGAATGTTAAATGGACCTTGGTTGAAAGCAGAGAGTACCAAAGCAATGTCTAACTGTGTTTCATTGACTATGCAAAAGTATTTGACTGTGTTGATCAAAACAAACTGGCTAACTCTGAGAAGAATGGTAATCCCAGAATATTTGATTATGCTTTTGTGAAACCTATACTCTTGGACCAGGAGGTAGTCATCAGAACAGAGAATGGGAACACTGCATGGGTCAAAACTGGGAGGGTGTATGCCAGGGATATGCCCTATCTCCATACCTTTTCTATCTATATACAGAACAGATCATCTGAGAGGCTGGATTCTATGAGCAGGAGTGTGACATCAGGATTGAAGGAAGACTCATCAACAAACTGTGTTATGCTGATGACACAACCATGTTTGCTGAAACTTAGGAGGACCTGAAGTGCTTGCTGCTGCAGAAGGTCAAGGACTGCAGCCTTTAATCTAGATTGTAGCTCAACATCAAG